CTAGTAAGGCACTTGTTACTAGTAGCGATGCACTTGTTACTAGTAGCGATGCACTTGTTACTAGTAGCTTCTTGTTACTACTAGTAAGGCACTTGTTCCTAGTGAAAGATCTAGACACCACAAATTCTCGGTATAGGCAAGCAAGTCAGGCCCCCCAGCCTTGTTTTTCTCACGGCCACTGGATGAAAGCACCACCAACGAAAGATCTGATACTTCTTCATCCACCTCAGCTTGAGATTGGACAGCAATGACTTTTTCCGCCTTCAAAACGAGTCATCGGCTCGTTTGCTCAGTGTGCTACAAAAAGAGGAACATCGCTTTTTCTTGTTTGGAACAGCGTCGGCTACGAACAGCTATCTGTTCAAGTGTGCTGAAAAAAAATCATGTATACGCCCATTCGGATGCTTTCGCATGCTTTCGCTTCGCAGATTCATCATTGAGGCAAACTATAGTGTCAGCAGTGTAGGTCCTTCAGAGGGCGATCCCGGCGGATGAACCATCTACAGTAAGCCTGCACAAACACTCGAGTCCCAAAAGCACCCACCTGGTCACACCATCCGAGTCCTTCTTCACCCCAACTACTACAAAAACAACCCGGAGGACTGGGGCACCGAATTCATCGCTTTATTGGGGCTCCCCACCTGATCGCTACAAGCTCCTCTGACTGCCACAGGCTTCGCTGACGGTGACGTCAGGTCGGGAGCATCGACCACATCGACCTGGCAGGTTGAGGGTAAACGTTCGACTGTTCGACGTGTTCGACCAGTCGAAATGGAGACCTTCATACGCCTGTCATGCGTAGCCGTTCCTGAAAGGTCACCTTGTGGGGCAGGGGCCCCACATGGACAGAACTCCCAGGGTGTAAACATGGATCCATCAATCCCCTCGTTGACGACTCAAAAAAGTCCTCGAAATTGACCCAAACGCAATCATCGCACACCATTCACCATTGAAATGGTGCGTTTCCAAGGTTGGAGAGAAGTAATTTGAAGAGCTAATTTCATTGAATGATCCGGTGGAAACAGCTTGCAACTGCCAGTGCTTGCCACTGAAGAGAGCAACTTGCATCGAGTTGCAGAACTCACTGAACGAGAAAATGGAGTGGCTCAGGAGCTATTCTGCAACACTCCAAGTCACTACATCCAGTTATCCAGCGGTTACAAAAATCTTTTCAGGCTGGGGAGCCTAACATGCACCCATTCTGAATCTGGGTCTAAAAGTCTAAAAAACAACATAAAACAACCTATTTAAAACAAAAAAAATAAAAACAACCGGACTTGACAATCTCAATATTTCGGAGATACCTTAAGATACATCTTATTCCAAAATGCATGCTTTGTACCGTTTCCAGCCGAAAAACAAAACAAAAAACAAGTTCTCCAAAAGAGCTCCTTTCAGCCCGGTCTTCTCAGCCTCTCAACCAGTTCAGTAGAAGTGGAGCCCCTCCTATTTGCTTAATCTATCTGACGTACAGAGATCTTCCAGTGATTCAGTGGACACCTTCCAAAACATTTGAGCATCAATTCTTTCCAACCACCTGCGCGACCTGGGTCTCCAGACCTTGGGCGAAGCACGCGTGGCACGCACTGGCTGCTTATCGGGACTGAAGGACCCCGGAAGCTCATTCGTCGCTGGACTCACTGAGCTGATCGCCTCTGCTGGTCTGGGTCGGCGCTTCTGGGGCTTTGGGCCTGGGGGACAGAGCGGCGAGAGAACCGTCTTCATGGCTCTCCGCGAGGAAGACACCCTCGTCACAGAATCCCGCAAAGTGCTGGGAGCCGCTATTGCTGCGAGGAAGACACGTGACGTGTGACATGGACACAAGAGAGATCGTCTCCAAGAACTTTCATGAACTCAGGGTACATCTGAAAAAGAAGCACACCCGTTTTCAAGGCGCAGGAGCGGGCTGATTCTTAGATAGTTTCTTTGTAGACTGAACTGGGGATCTTTTGCTTGGCAAAGTTTGCAGTTCCTACAGACCGTACTATTATATCATATATATATATATGCGAAGCACACGGGCGCAAGTACCCCTCGGAAGGAATTGTTTCTGTCCTTGCTAAGTGGGGCGCTTGAGTCGGGACGAGATCACCGGGAACGAGTGAGTTCGTGACCCTTGAATGCAAATTCTGCACGGGTCCATACTATTAAAAAAATTCAAGTGCCACTTTCAATCAAGAGGTCCTTTCCCATCTTGTTTCCTCTTTCGACCAGAAACCAGGGACTCATCGTAAACGATCCGCCACCTACCACTTCGTTCATTGAACATGTGAATCTGGTGAGGTTCATTGTCTTTGGTGAGGCTATTCGACAACTGACTTTCTCCGTTCACCCACCTCAGGTGAACCTGGTTGGCGTTCAGGGCCTCTTTCAAGCACAGGGTTTCTATATCACTTCGCTTTTCTGCTCCTCCCAAGGTCAAAACGGTGGAAGAAAGTCGATCGTACAGGTTACGACTGTCACTCACGAGGGCACCTGGGACCTTATTGACCGTTTCATCAGGGGACCATTCATTTCCATGGTGACCAAGGAATTCAGCCATTTGGAATCGAAGTGCATACATTTGGTCTTCCCCATCCACAGCAGCTCGTGTTTCTGCTGATGCGCTCGAACGACAGACCCTCGAGATTTTCGAGGAACACCAAAAGATGGGGTTGACTTGTGAGAGTTCTCCTTGGAGGATCCTGGAATCTGTACATCCAATCAACACTCCCTTGGTGCTGCTCAAGTCAGGCCTGTTGCCATAGGCAGCGTCAACCCAAGTTGTCAACATAAGATCCTCTTTATTCAAGGTATGTATGATCATGCGTTGCCCTTGCCTGGCCTTAGCCTTTTTAAGAAGCTTGTTTGCTTCAAGAAGGTCGGCCACCTGGGCCTTGGGCACTTTCGAAAGGAGAAGGCCCGTAGGGGCACTAAGCTCCATTGCCAGTTGCCCCGCATGCCATGCTAAACATCCTAGAATCTAGTCCTAGAGCACTTCTCATCTGTTTCTGTTCTTCGGGTGAGGCGGAAGCTTCAAGGTCTTTGCTTCTTTGTTTTGGGATGTAGATCTCTGACACTTGCTCCAGGAATTCCGGTTGTGAGATCTTGAAGGAGAAGTCTTCTCGTTGTTCAATGTTCACACCACACTGTACGAACTTCCCCTTCTCCCACTCTCCAAATTTGAACCGGGTAGTGATGGCTGATTTCACATGTTGCCAGCGCAAGTCGGTTTCGGCACCTCCAAACAAGAAGTCGTCGACGTGTGAGCAGATCCATGCTATAGGTCTCTGACTTTGATCAAAGAGTCCCCAACAGCAGGGGTCGGCTTTTTGTCGAATGAATCCTTGTTGTTCCAGAAATTCATCCACTGACAAGTAGAATTCCAGTGGGGCTTGAACCAAGCCGTATGCTGCTTTGGCAAGTCTTGTGATCGAACCTTCAGGGAGGTTCATAGCTTCAGTAATTTCCTTGAGCGGTTCAATGAAGAGTTGGTCTTGACATTCACGACCCTGAAGAAAGGCGCCGGAGATATCTCCCTTTTCCACTCGAAAGTGGTGAGCTGCGCAGAGTGTCAAAAACAACTGCCTTGTACTCTTGTTCATCGTTGGGCTCGCCGTGGGGCGAGTCTCATACAGCGGGTCTTGGTAACCCAGTATGACTGCACGTGCCTTTGCTTTCTTCTGGTCGGGATTCTCCTTGTCGCATTTCCATGTCAGTATCCAGCGCATTTTCAACACCTGGCTGGCATCTGGCTTCATGTGGTCAGGGATCTTCTTGAAGACCTCCGCAAGGATGTAGTTTTTCACTTCTTTTTGTTTTGCCTGTCTGAACTGTTCTAGTTCTGTTGGCGACAGCCTTCGTTCGGATACCTCCACATGGTTCTTGCGACTTTGGCTGACCACAAACGCTGCCAGGTCGCGAAGCCAATGTTTTTGTTTCCTGTTTGCCTTGTCAGGCATGTCAATAGCAATTTGAATGCTACCATGTTCATCTTCCAGGAATGTTGCTGGTGTCTCTGACGCTAGTGCGATCAAGCTTTCATCACCTTCTGTCATCTGTTGATCGAGAGCTTCACGTCGATGGTGTTTTGCTGGTGGCTGTTCCGGTTCTGGTCCTTTACGACGATGTCTAAAGCGAGGAGGTGGTGGTGCTCCTGGTTGGTCAGGGATGATCTCTGGGTCGTCATCTTCCTCCCAATCCAGTGGTGGTTCAATCTTGGTCAGGTCCTCAAAGGTTTTGTTTTTGCTCTGTTCAAGGATGCTGGTCACCGTCCATGGAAGAGGTTGGTCCTCTTGCAATTCAGCCCATGCTTCTTCACGTTCACTTGCATGCCTTAAGAGCTGAGGGGTGGCCTTGAGCAACTTGGTTCCACGGAAGATCCAGATATTTTGACCTGGTGATCGTTCTCCGGTTTCCGACAGTTTGGTCTCAGTGGCCAACACGCGAGCGGGACCTATGAATCCACCTTTCTTGAACCCTTGACCTTTCACCTCATGACCATGACCGGCGAGTTTGTTCTTCAATAAAGGATTCCTCAGCAATTTTCATGGCTTTGTTATCTTCTCCAAACTCCGCGGTCACACCTCTTTCAGTGATCAGCGGAACCTCGTCACATCCCCTATCGTGAATGCATCCATCTTCACAGGGGTTCCTACCAAGAACATGTTGAAGGGGGAGAATCCAAGGTATTGATCCCGAGAGTTCTGCGCCCAGAGTGACCGACAAAACACTTCACGACACGACATCTCCGGGCACTCCGAAGCGAGTTTCGACATCATGTTTTTGGTGGTTTGGATCGCTCGTTCAACATGAGGAATCTTCCAGTGAGCTTCGGCAGGAATCTGTTCATTAATAATCTTTTGTTTCAACAGGTACTGGTCCAGGCGTTCACTCCTAAAAGGTCCAGCGGGGTCCATCCGAATGCAAGCGGGATTTCCGAAAACCGGCTTCCAATACTCCTCCAAAAAGGTAACCAAGTCTTCACCAGACATGCTGATCTTCTTGCCGGGTTTCAGGATCATCCCCCGTCGGAATCGGCTTCCCTCGTCAATTCCCAAAAGGAAGTGGAAGTTTTCTTTGGTCTCCGGATGACTCCATGACCCCCCATCCACCTGAATACGGGCCCATTTGGGGGGGATATCTTCCAGGGAACCCTGAACCCTTGGTTTCGAGACGACATGTTCTTCGCAGGTCGAACAGCGGAAGTTTTTCGCAAGTTCAATGGTCTCATGGTCCGCGTTTCTCCTTTTGAGGGCCTTCACCAAGTAATCCCTACTGCAATGACCAGTGGCGGCGTGGATTCGACGAAGCGCGCGAAGGACCGACGTTTTCCGATCCGGCGACATGGAAAAAACTTCTTCGATCCCTTCATGATGATGGTTGGAATTGTCATGACCATGGCTCATGTTCATGTCTCCAAAAAGGTTCATTCCGTCTTTCAGTTCTTGGGTGACATGTTTGCAAAGATCATCACGCTTCATGACAGTCACAACCCTCTTACAAAAGGTGGGAGTATAGAAGGCAGTTTGGCGGCATCTCTTTTGTCCTTCACATTTTCCATGAACATGATCTCCACTACACTTGAGGGTCATATGGTGTATGATTCCTTTCGCCGTACCCAACAACCTCCACCCTTTTCCCAGGAGCTCCCTTTGTTCATTTCGGAGTCCAACTTGACATCCTTTGCAGACCCCGGTCACACACGGGACCCTGTTTTGCAAAATGGAAAAGGGGGTTTCATTCCACCCTTCACATCTCTCCGAGAGTTCAATGATGAAGGGGATGTTTTCTTTGTGGGCTTCCTCCGCAATTTCACAGCACCCTTTGTACTGTTGGCGCGCACGGGCACGTTTTTCCGCAAGGTCTTGTCGTTGTTTCTCAGTTTTCATATTGAGATGTTGCATGGGAGAAAAAGGTCCACACTCTGGTGACAACCACACAAGACCAGGTCGAGTCTCCTTCATAACACGAATGATATGCTGAGTGCCGGCCTTTGTTTCCACATCCCCGCCATTGTAGGCGGAGAGTCGTCGTGCGCTCCCGTCGCCAAACACTCTGTTACATGTGTTGGAGAGTTCACTTTCGGGGTCACAACACACCTCCAACAACCTCAACCGATCCCCATAGGCCACCTGACACCAGTCACTCTCAAAACCACGAGAAAGGCCAAACAAAATGTCCTTTTTGTGGTGTTCCCCCAAATCATGAATCTCTCCCCCATATTCAGAGGTCAAATGCGCTCGAGATTGATCCTCTCTCACTCGCCGAACTCCGTCTCCTGTCCCTTCTTGCGGGTCTTGGCCAGCTCGTCGTCCTTCTTGGATGAGCTCTTGCTGACCATCGCCTTTTGACGTTGGAGTTCGTGGATCTGGGCTTCGATCTGTTCCATCTCGTCCGCCTCCCGTTCGGATGAGGAGGTGTCCATGGGGATCTTGACGAATGTCCCGTCGGTGGAGCTGGAAAATGAGGGCTCTTCGATGCGGTGAGGACGGAGGAAGGCTTTCGCCTTCGCTGTTCCCCCACTGCTCATGATCGGGTATCCCTTCTTCATGCCGGTTGTCTTCCCTGCCTCCTTCTGCTGGTCGATCCACTTGAGATAGCGGGTCATCTGCCAGCAGGTGGTCTCCTCGAGGGATGTCTGGCGGCACCACCCAGTGTAGTCTGGGTGCTGTTCCTGGACTTCCTGGTATGTCAGAGGAGCAAACTTGCCGAATCCCATCACGTCGGTTGCCAGCGGGGGCTTGTTCTCCATAATCGCCTGGTTTCCCAGAGAGAGAAGTCGACTGATGGTTTCGTTGCCCGTGATCG